TAAAGTAACCGTCGTCAGCAGATCTGTATCGATCTAAAATCGTAGCTCATGATGGCTAAACACTCTGAAGGTGGTTTAATAATTACGCTAAGTTGCTGATCTGAAGTATTGGTGGTGATTCTTATTTACTTTCCATTCGCTTTTGATCTGACTCAATGTTGTTGCAGAATCTACTTCTAGTTCAATCCTTCAAAATCTCGCTTCCCAACATTTCTCAGGCCCAACCAGTAATATTCCTTGCATAGCCGAGCAACCATCATCTCTGATCTTCCTCTCCAATACCTCACTAATTGGACTTGCAGATTAATGAAGCTTAATCTACAAAGTATAAAACGTGCAGGCTGCGAAGAATGAGTCCAATCTCAAATAGGATTGACTTTTTATATTATTCTCATCACTTCTTCGCCTCTCATCATTCAATTCACATATTTTAAGGACTAGGCTTGTGATGTGGCCACTATCACTGGCAACAACATCTTCAGGAACAAACCTTCTCCAAAACCAGTGTGTGCCCCCGACTCGTACATTCGTTCGGCACATGCACTCTTGTCTCCGGGAGAAGCAAAGCCACGAAATTGTCATTACGGTGACAAGTCCAGCAAAGATGAAGAACAGACCGAACTTAAAGTGGCAAAGCATGGAAAGAAAGACTTGAGCTATGGCGAATGTGAAAAAACATGTTCACTGCAACATTTATAGCTTGTCCCGCAGATCGAACCTCAAGAGGACATATTTCACTCGGCACCAACCATCCCAAAGGTCCCCAAGACCAAGCATACGCTGCAACGAACAAGCATATGATGAACAAAAGCAGGTCAGCTTCACCTTTGCTGAACGACCCTTCTCCTTTAACTCCAAACTTCAAAGCTATCATGAGCCCCACAGAAATCTAGAAGCAATTCATGGCAATGTATAAGAGCTAGTTGACCTTGAAGGTTATATATAAGAGACTTGGTTGTGTGTGTGTGTGTGTGTACGATACCTGACAAAGAAACATTTGAATGCCACCTTCAAGGAATAAGATCCTTCTTCCAAACTTGTCCACGGAGAAAATAGAAATAATGGTGGCGATGACATTGACGCTGCCGGTGATAACGGCGGACATGAGAGAAGCATCGCCGCCGAAACCGAGAGTCTGGAAAAGGAGAGGCGCGTAAAACATGATGACGTTGATGCCTGTGAGTTGTTGGAAGCATGGAATGAGAGAGCAGAGTATGAGTTGAGGTCTATATTATGTTGTGTGATGGTTTTCCAAGGATGTACCACCTGCCTAGCCACTTCAATCAAGTCGATGAGATCTTGAAACTCGTCGTCCACCTTCTGGGTTCCACGAATCTTCTGCAATATAATCTTAGCTTGACCATATTCTCCTCTTTCGATCATGGAGTTTGGCGTGTCACCCAAGAAAAGAGACGCAACACACAACAGAAGAGCCGGTGCTCCTCCTACACCTAAAGAAATTCTCCATCCATGTTCATGCTCAGCAGTTAAATAGTTGATAAAATTGGCTATCAAAATGCCTATTGTTATCATCATCTGGAATCCCATGTTCAATGCGCCTCTGATATTTGGCGGAGCGATTTCAGATAAATACACCGGAACAGACTGTTGACATATAAAACAAAATTGAATGTGGTTAGTTAATTAATCCTTGAACAACAAATAAAGGAGTATCAGGGGGGAAAAAAAAATCACACGCTAAGAGTTTATTACTTACTTGATTACAATATCCCACGCCAAAACCTAGCAACAGACGGCCAACGATGAGCATGTGAACGTTTATGGCAAAACCATTCAACAAGGCACCGACAAGGAAGAACAATCCTCCAAGAAACATGGAGGTTTTACGGCCCAGAATTCTTGTGGTGTTAGAGGCAAAGAGAGAGGCTATCAATGCTGCGAGGTATAGAGATGAGGTGAACAATGTAAGGAGCTCATTGTTGTATTTGCAGTACGTGCACTTATGGCCTTTTAATCCATCCTTGACTTGTTTGTACACAGAAGGGAAGAACTTGAGCAAGAATGGGTCCATGGAAGTTACACCTCCGGTGATCCCAAGGTCGTAACCAAAGAGAAGACCTCCCATGGCAGCCACGAAGCAAGAGACCAATACGTAAGTTGTGACTTTGCCCTCATAATAATTCCTTGATTTATATGATGAACATAAGCTCCTCCTCCAGCCATCTTTAAAATATCTGGTGATGTATGGATATTGTCTTTCAACTCTTTAGATCCTTTTAATTATTTGCCTTTGTTGTGCACACCAGACTTGCTAAATGATAAGTTCGTGATGAGTTATATAGGTTTTGAGACGATGACAAATATGACAAGTCTAGGAGGTTTTCACAACGACATTGTGCTTTTTGAGGTCTGTCATACAATCACAATATCCTAAATTTGGAATCTTTTTTGCCCGATTTCGTTGTTACAGTACTGTCGCATGGATATATTTTATATAAAACACATATTGTGTCCTATGAGCAGCTAGTTGTTTTCGAATTTTTTTTTTCTCGGAATGTATGACTTTTCCTAATTATTAACTAACAAATTATTTCAGCCAAATTCCAACAAAGTAATGAGGTTCAAGTGCTGGCTGCTCAACAGAGAGACAAGTAACAACGACCTTAAATAATTAGGAAAAGCAACACAATATCTTGTCCGCCTACACGTGTGTTAAGAAAGAATCATTGTTTGCTATTGCCATTTACATGATTTTCTACTACCATTTATTTAAGAAGCTGACAGATAAACAAATAAATGAAATAAATAAATAATAATATGAAAAAGATGTTCAATCTTTCATTCATATACTTGTGTCAAAACAAGTATCATCATTTCCTTCAATAAAGGATAAAAAATGTTAAACCGTTAAAAACATTGAGCAATTTGGGGAAAATATTTGCTATATTCACGTAGCTCTTGCAGATTTTTTTAGAGGTGAAAAATAAAATTTGAACTTTCTTATAGGCTAAGAAAATTATAAGTATTTACTTGTAACAAAAAAATTTCTATTAGATATAATATTACTAGAACATCAATATTAGATACATTAATTATTTATTGAATAAAAAGGAAAATACATAAAAAATTGTAAAATGTCAAAATTAACAGTGCTTTCAGTTTTTAATTATTTATAATGTTATTCAAAAACAAAAGTAAGTATAAAAATTTTGTAATGAAACTTTTGTGAAGTAATTACACACAGCTAATTTAATAAAACCCAACTAATTTTAAATAATAAAAGTTATATCTTTTTAAGTGCATTGTTAATCTTTTAACTCTACATAAAGTTTTAGTTATATTTCTGAGTTTCATAAAGTACTCTTTCCGTTAAAAAATATAAACATTTTTAATTGAATCTCACTCACAATAAAATAGTTACTTACTTTTAAACTAACATCATCTTTCCATGTTTACCCCTATTAAACTCCTTACAATAAATATAAAGTTATTTATCAATAGGGATACTTTAAAAAAAAGCAATAATTACACATCGAAAGACTAAAAATGTCATATATTTTTTAATATCCAACTCTTCAAAAAATTTCTTATATTTTTTAACGGAGGGAGTATTTTTCTAATCTTGTAGGCCTAATATTATCAATTTTAAATGATTACTTTTTGTGTCAATTATTGTCAAGGACGCAAAATTTGAATAAATGGAGCATAAAAATATAAAATATAAAATTAAAATTAAAATACTATAAAAGATAATATAAATTTATATTACCAAAAAATAATAATGTAAATTTAAATTTTATAACAACTTGAGAGTTTAAAATTTTGACTAAAAAAAGTTAAGATTTAAAATATATTAGATTTAAGTGAAATATTAAAGGCTTAAATTTTTTAGAACTCAAATATGTTTTATTTTGGGGTTAGTAGATTCAAAATTATTGAATAGTGTGTGCAAATTTTCAAAAGTTACAATGCATACTTGTAAATTTTATCAAGTTGAGTGAAGGCATTTGTCCACCTTCACATCAACCTAGATCCATTGCTAATCATTGTTATTTTTTAAAAAATTAAACTTAA